TAATAATAATAATATGGTACTCAATACTTACTTGGAGCATTTACTAGCATACGTGTTTAGCCACCCTGTGACAGCAATGAAAACAGTAGATTTTAAAACACAAATAGATGTCAGTAAGACAAGACAGAAAGTTATGTTGCATTTTCTGTACCTGACAATGGAAATAAAATATTGACTCATTTCAGAGAAATGAAAGAGTGTCAAAAACTTTCTCAACGATACTTCTTGTGAAGGAATTTCTTCTTTCTTTTTCTCTTAAAGTCCTCATGTCTTCACCCATATAACATTTTTTGGTCTCATTAAAATAGTCTCAACGAAAAAAAAGCCCTCAGTCTTCCAATAAATTATGTCCAATCATGGGAAAAATTATAGACAGTGGACTGAACAAAGTGTAGAAAAACATAATCTAAACACTTTCCCTTTGATGTTCATTGCATTCTACACAAACATCTTTGAAAGTGACATTCATGTTCCTTTGTGATTCTTTCACTGCAAAGACAACGTTGTATAAAATAAATAAGCATGCATTTTTTTGGAGACTTACACGTCCTTTTTCACTACAGAAACCCTGAAATAAATACTGTTTTAAAGATGGAAGTGGATATTTATATGGCAGGCCGTCGAAAAATCGGAAGTGATAATTCCACGGCACATAAATTTATTTTGTGCAAGCAAAATGGAGAGAAGACGGGATCGGGTCGGGTCGGGTAGGTATGATCATCCGACTCGTCGCCTGGAAAACAAACACAATTCTTGCATTGATACACTTCAAGCAGAGCCTGTGCCGTCGAAATATCAATTCCGATCTTTAGGCTCAAGACGGCATACCGTGGATCTATAGGTACATGTATCACTTCCGATGTTCAGGCAGCATGCCGTGGAAATATCAACTACGATTTTCAGACGGCATGCCGTCGAAATATCGCTATCCTTTAAAGATTGCATATTCATTACTGTTATTTTTGGTTTTGTTTTAGTAAGAGTTTTACGGTACTTACAACACAATAAGGTCATATAAGTGACGAAGATTAGAGG